TAATAATAATAATAGATTGGCGCTTACACATATGTTAGTGTTTGGCCGAGCTTCTCCTCCAACTTGTGGCGTGCGCCTTGATATTGTCACACAAAGCGGAGGGACCTACAGTTTTACGCCGACTCCGAACGGCGATTGTATTTTTATGAGAAGCTGTTTTTCATGGCAGAAATACACTCGGAGGTTTGCCATTGCCTGCCGAGGGACGACCGCTGTTAAGAAAAAACCTTTTTTCTATATTTTTTGCGATGTTGCTTTGACCAGGGTTTGAACCCAGGTGCTGCGGAGTGGAAGCGCGCACTGCTTACCACTACACCACAGCGGCCGAAAATAAAACTTTGAAATAAAGATAAATATGAAGATGAAGAAACAAGTAATAACGATGAAGACAAATAAGGCAAAAGTGAAGATAAAGACGAAAATTGAGATAGAGGCGAAAAGGGAGACAATGGAAATACATGAGAATTAGGTTAACAGAGTTGAAATTTTACGATAGGAATCGAAATTAAATCAGCCATATAAAAAATGAGTGCAAGATTTCAACCAAATTTATACGGATGGTTTGTCTTAAGTTTCCCCGAATTCGGAAAAGGGGGTGGCACCACTCATACTAACAAAAATTTTCTTCTGGTATATTTGAAATATTTGTGGTAGATTACTGGAAATTGGTATAGAGACATATGAAATAATTCCATACTCATGGAGAAAAATGAGCGGTATTGGAAAAGGGGACGTGGCACCTCCCATCTTAAATAAAAAAAATAAGTGCACGAATTCTACCAAATTTAAACCGTATATGCAGATGGGTTATGTGAAGTGTGCCCGAATTCGGTCCAGTGGTTCATGATATATAACAGTTTATGTCTGTTACATGAACCACGTATATGGTACAACAGCAGATACATGAAAAATCGAAAACATAGTGAAAAATTGTTGCTATGATGTGCTGTGTTTATTTTTTCTTCGGATAAATTAAGTCAAGTATAAACATGGCTGCAATATAGTAAACAAAAATTTTCAAATAGAAAAATTCCAGGATTTTTCATTCATTTTTCAATATTTGGTGTAGAGTAGCACACCGGGGTACCGCTAGTATATGTATATATATCAGTCTTTCGTTTTGTTTGGAGTAGAGCTGCCAAACTATCGACGATGCTATCGATAGTATCGATAGTCTGGTCACTTGAAATAACTATCGATAGTTTTAGTACTATCGCCACTATCGTTTCATTGATAGCGTATTCACTTTCCCA